GATCATCACTTAAATAGAAAAAAATGGGTACAGTCTCACTAGACTTAGGATTCATTTATGCAGCATAATGAAGGTTCAACTGTAGCTCAAACATAGGTATACCCACATTAGTTTTAATTTAGCTAGCAGAGGTAACAGTATTAATGAAATATGACAATATGGGCTTGCAGCCAGACTATAAGATCTCCCAGAACCTTCCCAATAAAATGTACAGGACAAGAATTTAACCAAAAGTTCAAAACCTACTACTGCCACTACAGAGAATGTCAAACAGCTCTGCAGTAGCAACTGCCCTTCTTTATAGTGTTGTGTCTAATGCTGGAAAAAGAGGAATTACCATAATTTTATAAAATATTTGTTTTAACCAAAGATGAATAAATATGCACAACCCCCACGACACAAGTGTGACGACACTGCTGTGTGACCTCATGCAGCAGCCGTGAGGTCAGACCTAGACGCTGCGAGGCAGGCATGCTGGCGTGCTCGCTTTGCCCCAGGGAAGTGGCAGCCCAGCAGGCAGGGAACACAGGGTGGCTTTTTAGAGGCCTTGTTCCTGCTTGCAATGGGCAGCAAAGTGGCACCTTTGTGGCCGATCCAGCAGAGTGCCAGAGGGCCAAATGGGCCGTGGCGATTGACCTCCTGAATGTGGCTCCGGGGGGCCGACATGCTGCACAGGGTGGGCAATAAGGGGGACAATTTGCAGGCTGAACTCACCAGTTATGGGGTGGAGATGGGTCCAGCGCAGGTCCCGGCTGCTGGATGCCCGGGGCATGATCTGTGCAACTTCAGTTTAAGTCCTGGCGACACGGAGAAAGCACTTACAGCCGTCGCCTCAGGGAAGGGGCCTGTGCTGGGGAAGAAGCTGGGGATGGAGGTAGCTAGAGGCACCACTGGAGACCAGCCAGGGACTACCATGGCATGGTCTGTCCAGAGGGGCAGCTGCCGGCTGGAGCCCTTAGCGCAGAAAATGCTACGGACAGCTGTCACCTGCCGATGTGCCCGAGCACTGGAGAGAGTCTGTATTACGTATGTGCACATGCATGCACGCACACACGCATGCACACAGCTCCCTGGTACAAAGGAAGTTTGCTTTCATCTATCCCTCACCACCTTCTTCCTATTTTACAGATGGCAAAACCAATTCCCAGGCAGGGGACAGGACTTCACTTACAATCACCCCACAAGGGAAGAGGATCAGGATCCAGGGAAGGGCCGGGCAGGGAAAGGAGACAAGGAGTCCATGCAGGGGGAGGAGGATATGAGAGAGAGGGAAGAGCCCGGTTGAACTGATTAGTGATTGCTTGTGGAGGGGGATGGGCACGGCTCTGTGGCTCCCCAAACCTCCTTGCACCCTGAGATGTGCAGAGACCAGGAGCCCCCCCCGCCCCTGAAGCTTTCCCTCCTGCTCACCCTCAGCATCCTCGCTAGCCCCCCAAGGGACCAACCCCCTGCTCCCCCCCACCAGCCTTGGTGTGAAGGGTGGTGGTGGGCACCCCCGGTTCTTGATGGGGGTGGGCAGAGGAACCTGCAGAGCCGCTGGGCCCAGGAGCCACAGGGCTGCAGCCTCCTCTGATGCCCCGGCAGCTGCTGCCAGCTGCCCTGGGAGGAGAGACACGGATCACATCGCAAAGCCGCCGAGCCGTCCCGACAGGCTACCGGCGAGGGGAAATGCCAAAGGATCCAGAGTGCTGCTGCCCTGGCCCCGAGAGGCCTGGAGCGACGCGGCCCCATCTGCAGCAGGGTCGAGCGGGGAAGGCGGCTGCCTGGAGCAGCTGACCTCATCCTCCTTGCTCCAAATGTCAGCGGGCGGGGCTGGGGGAGTGCTCGCTCCCCTCTGCAGAGCCATATGGCCGGGGCGGGGGGCTGCCAGCTCTCCGGATGCAGGCCGAGCCCCCTACTCTGCACAGCAAGACGCGGGCTTGCAGGCTCAGAGCTGGGGGAGGCAGCCCAGAGAGCAAGTGAGACCCCTCACTTGGGGACCTTGGGACCCCCCTGGCCTGAGCAAGCTGGACAGCAAAGGGAGGGCGGGGTGGCTCGGGCAGGCCGGGCTCTCGGGGTGACTTCTGGAGGCAGGAGGGGGCAGATCTCCCAAGAGGGAGACTGTCCCATTACCCCCTCCAGAAATGTCTCCCCCAAAGGCCGCACAGTCTGGAAGGGCACCATCATTGCCTGCCCCGTACCACCCCCCAAAACACTGGGGCTGATGCTGATCCCACGACGTGCATCTCACGCAGCATCCACCAGCAGCCGGATCACAGGTAGGGCCGGACTGTGGCACCGATGCCGCACAGCCCCTGGCCCCGCATGCCCCAGGGCAGGCTGGTGGGCCTCAGTTTCCTCCTAAGTGAAGCCTCCCCGCCCCTCCATCGAGGAGGCAGGGCCCCGGCCGGCCAGCGCTAGCCATCAGCGGAGGGTTGCTGGTCAGAGGGGACCGGGCGGGGAGGAGAACATGTGTTGGCTTCATTTTCTCTCCCCCCAGGAAGCGCTTACTGGGAGCTGGCTCTGGGCCCTGGAGCATGCGGCCCATGATCTCACTGCTTCCATAGCGATGGGCTGATGTCACCACCGCTGCTTCATCTCCTGGCCGGACTGGGCCAGCTGCTCCGCTCAGCTGCTGCTCCGGCCCGTGCGGCGAGGCTGCGCTGGCCAGGCCTGTGCCGGGCCCGAGACCCCCTCTCTGCGCGCTCCTCCCGGCCAAAGCAGGCTGGCCCCCCGCGCCGCGCCACAGCCTGGCCCCCGGAGGCAGGCGAGCGGCTTGGCCTGGCGGGGGTGCAAGCCTGAATGCCCCATCACGCGGGCCACGCTGCACTTCTGCATGGGCGTGTGGGGGTGCCCGCCGTGCTCCCCACAAGGGCAGGGCACAGAGCCCCCGGCCTGTCCTGTGCAGGGCATCTCCCAGCCTCGGCCAGCTCTGCCCCACGGACCCGGGGTGCGCGTGGCAGGGAGCTGCCTGCCTATAGCTCGCCCGCGGCCCACAGGGGAGCAGCTGGGTGCAGGCTGCAAGAGGCAGGCCCCCATGCTCCCCCGCTCTGCTCCTCGGGGAGGTTAATAGCCAGGGCTCCGAGCTGGAGGCCGAACCGGCGGCCTCTGGAAAGGCAAACAGCAGAGCCGAGCAGGGGCCGCTCCGGCCTGACCTCAATTGTCTGCCTCTTCCTGCCGGGAGCGGGCTGGCGCAGCGGGGGGTGCGGGCAGCTCCCAGCCGGCTCCAGCCCTGGGAGCCTCGTGCCACTCCCGCAGATCGGGATGTGGCCCTGTGCTGGCAGGGGACCCGCAGCTGGGTCCCCATCCACAGCCCCGGCTGCAGGGAGGGTGGCAGCATCCAGGGACACAGGCTCTCTCCGCTAGGCCTGCTGGTCCCTGTCTGCCCATCCCTCCTCCCCCTGCCAGGCCCTGCCAGCCGGGGGGCAGATGTCGTGGGGTGCAGGCAGGACGCAGGGCCGTGGTCGTGGGAGCTCTGGTCGGGCCGTGTCGACAGGTCCCGTGCTGCGCTGCGCTCTGGCCCAGACCGACTCGCCTCTTCTCCAGACCCTGGCGCCACGTCCAGCCACCCCTTGCTCCCGCTGCCTCTGGCTGCCCCCAGCACTGAGCGCTTGCCCTTCGCTGGCAGCACTGGCCAGCAATCACCCAGGGCCCCGCGCGCCCTCCTATGTACCCGGCGGGGCAGAGCTTGGCATGGGCACAGCCGCCACCTTAAGGCGTTTTCTGCTAGGAGCAGCCCCAGCCCCACAGCGCTGGTGGACAGGACCCCCCGTTGCATCTCTCCCCGGCTGCTCCGTGCTCGTGGTCGATCCCTGGCCCCCGGCCTGGCTCTGTGCCCTGCTTCCACACCCAGCTCAGCCCTCACTGCAGGCCCTTGGTGGCACCCACTGTCTTGCTGCGTGCAGACTGCGCCCTGCACCCCAGGGAGGGCTGTAACTCACCCCGGGAATGCAGCCCCCCATCCTGTTTGCACGCTGCAGAGGGACCTGCCTTGGGCCTCATGCCGGTCCCAGGGGGTCTCCAGGCCCCTTTGCCCCCCACAGCCATACCCAGAAACAGGACCCGCGGAGACACCACTGCCAGTGGGGAAACAGGCTTTATTTGGAAACGATTGTGCTGAGGTACAGGAGGCGCCACGCGCGTGGCCGGAGCCCCTGTCCGAGGGGACACACGGTCTGAACGGGCGCGGCGGGGCTGCCCCACGGTGCAGGCTGGAAACGCGGGGGGCAGCGAGATGGGGAGATTCCCACCCCCACCTGCACCAGGGGCCTCCTGACAGCCCTGGATGGGACCTTGGGGACGGCCGCTAATCCGCTCGTGTCAGAGGCGCCTGGGGGCCGGGCTGCCGGGAGGGTGGGGGGCTGCCTCTGCTGCGGAGCCGGTGCTGGGCCCGGCCACCACCCCTGACCCCGGGGAAGGGAGATGGGCCAAGGGGCCAGGCTGAGGGTGGTACTGAGGCCCCACGACACCAGCAGCCTGGTGCCTTTGGGAACCGGCTGCTTCTTGCCCCCCCGGGCAGCGAGGATGGGCTGGGGTGGGCTTTGTGGAGGGTGCTCCTTCCAGCCGGAGCTCCCGGGGTGCTGGAAGGGGGCACGGGGAGACGTTTCCCAGAGCACACGACAAACCAGAGACCCCTCCGGGGGGAAGGACAGGACAGGACAGGACAGGACAGGACTGCGAGCCCCCCGCATGGCTCTCCCCAGCCCGGGCCTTCACAGGCACTTGAGGATGTAGAAGTTGCAGGCCGTGCCGCGGGGGCAGTTGCAGAGCTTCCCGATGCGGGCGCCTTTCCTGACGGCGCACTGCTCGCCGGCGTCGCACTGCGGGGCGAGAGCGGGGCCTGCGTTAATACCGCCCATGGCATCCCCCCAGCCGCAGCATGGCCGTGACACATGGGGGGATGGCAGCAATGAGCTGCCCTTGGTGTCATTTTAGGGAGGGAGGCCAGGACTGGGCGAGCCCCGGGGCTGAAGTCCAGCCCGCGAGGACCTTACCGAGGGCACCCAGCCCAGCTTCTTCTCCACCGAGGGCAGGCGCTTGCTCTTCAGCTTCTCCAGCACCTCCTGCAGGGCCACGATCTGCAGGCGCACAGCGGGGAGGGGAGAGCTCAGCCCCGCGTCCGCCCCGCAGCCTGCCCCGTCGGCGCTGGGCTCCCACAGCCCGGGAGCACCACCGCCTCGGGGTGCCCGGGGACGGGGCGGCAGCGGGTGAAACCCCGGGAGCTGGCAAAGCCCCTCGGGACGAGGGGGCAGGGGCTGGTCCGCACAGGGCTGGGACTCTGAATTGCACTGACTGGGTCGCAGCCTAGGGCTGCCTCGCCTCGCCTCGCCTCTCGTGGCACCCGGAGGCTGGACGGGAGCGCGAGCGAGCGGGTGTCCCCTGCCCCCTCCGGCCCGTGGGCTCCCCCCTCACTCCCCGCGCCGCTCCCTTGGGGAACCACGCCGTGCTGCCACCCGCCGCCTCCGGTGCCCGCCCTGGAGCAGCCCGCCGGGCGACGGAGAAGCGCCCGGCGTCGACCCCCGCCGCCCGCCCGGCGG